TTAGGCACTGGGCTTGTTCCCTGGCTAATGGGGAGGGTTAGCCAGTGCTTTCTCCTGCCTGCTTGAGTCCAGTTCCCTGCCCCCAGCCACGGAGCCAAGCTCTCTTCTGTGGTGCACTTGCTTAGAGGACACAGCCAATAGAACAGGGACAGCAAAAATGGGCTGAAGTTGCAAAAGAAGTAATTGTGGTTTGATGAAGAGCTTTTCTTTTTTTTTTTTTTTCTTTAGACAGGGTCCGTCCCACTAGTTAGTCCAGGCTGGCCTGGAGCTCTCATCGCTCCTCTTGCCTCAGCCTCTCAATAACTAGGATCACACACAGGCCCCCCCATGGCAGGCTCTGATGAAGGACTTTAAACTTTTGGCAGTGGAATCCTTTCATATAGCAAAATGTGGGAGGTCAGTGTATAGAGCAGCAAGAAGGAAGCGTAAACGGGACATCTTCAGGGCAGCAGGCTCTCTCCCCCTTGGAAGGCTGTCAGCGCAGCTGGATCAGGGACTGCACACAGCCTGTGCCTGCTCTTCCATAGTCCAGGGCAAAAAATGCTTTTTTTGAGACAGGGTCTTGCTATGTAGTACAGGTTGGCCTGGGATCACTATGTACATTTTTTTTTTTTTTTTGTCTTTTTGCTTTTTATCGGTACCGGAGATCGAACTCACGACTTCCTGCTTGCAAGGCAGGCGCTTATGCCGCTGAGCTAAATCCCCAGCCCCTGCCTGGGATCACTATGTAGCCCAGGCTTGTTTCCAGCTGGCAGCCATTCCACTGCCTCTGCCTCCTGAGTGCTGGGATTACAGGCGTTCGGCACCACGTCCTATCGCTTTTCCCAATTTTAAATGTGTGGAACAAGAAAGAAAAGTAGACGACACGTGCACATGACAGGCAGTTTGCACTTTGGTGTCCACAAGCCACATTTCATGGGACTGCAGCCTCCCCCACTCGTTTGGTTATCGCCTGCTCTGGCAGAGGAAGCTGGCTGAGAAGCCCAGGATACTGTGGTCTTTTGCAGAGATAAATCCGCCAGGCTGCGGTTTATTTGATGCTCTAAGGGCTGGGATTGAGCCTTATGCAGCAGCAGAAGTGCTGTCCATACACCATTCCCGGAGGGAGAGGCGGCTCCTGGCCAGGGCCTACTGAGGATCCGCTGGACCCGCAGGCTGTGGCTTAAGTAGGTCCTGTCGGCACCAGGGAGCAGCAATGACCACCTCATCTGAGGACCCCTGAGGGCACAGCCCTCCCTCTTGGCTCTGGACACTGCCTTCACCCTTGGGCTCTAGCCAGCCGCCACCGGCAGATGGCTGGGGGAGGCGAAGGCAGTGTGTCAAATCCGCTGCCGCCGGCCAGGAGCCCAAGATTCCTGGCAGTGAGAGAAAGGATTTCCTCTAGGACACTATTACAGCCGTGTGCTGGCCAGCCAGTCCCAGTCCTGGGACTGCATGGGGTGGGAACATCTGTGATGATTTGGGAAAAGGAAAGAAAACTCAGTCCCAAGATCTGATGAGAGATTACGGAAAACATGAAGAGTCTGAGGAAAACACAACTACAAGCAGAGAATGAACAGCAAGTTCGTTCAACTGTGCTTTCTTCCTAATTGTTGTAGATCATTTTAGGTCAATCAGATCATCACTGGGGAGGTAGCTCAGCAGCACAGTCCCTGCTTGGCAAGCACAAGGTCCTGAGTTCCATTCCCAGTACCAAAAAAACAAAATCCCCCAGAGATCATCTGCATTAACTTCAGTTAGCATTTCCTGTTTCTATAGTACCTTACCAAGGCAGAGGCTGGAGTAAGAGTCCTGCTGTCCTAACTCCCCTGCAATTCTACTTCTGCTCCTGAAGCCGACATAATCTGAAAACCATGGGTGCTTTCTCAACCTGGAGTTTAAAGCAGAATCATCGGGTTTTTAGAAGAGCCATGTGCAGGGAACCCGGGCTCTGCTCCTTTGACTTGTTCCTTCTGGGAAGCGCCCTGGTGATACTGTTTTCTGTTGCTTTGAGACAAGGTCCAGGCAGGCCTTGAACTCTGATGCTTTATTAGTTGCACTGGCTGCTGCAACCACCCAATACCTATTAGAATGAACCACAAGGAATTACCAGCACTGTGCTGCTGAGCTACATTCCCAGCTCTTGTTTTTTTGACTGTTTTTTGAGACAGGGCCCATTATGTCATCCAGGTTGGCCTTGAACTTACTATGTAGCCCAAGCTGGCTTGCATCTCACATTCACGCACCCATTATGGTATTGGCATTCCACCACGTTTTATTTATATTCACCAACTTTGTTGAATCATTTGAGCATAAATTACAGACACCAAGACAATTTTCCCTAACACATCTTTTAGAATTAAGGACATTCTTCTACATAACCATTATCAGGGTTAAAGAAAATTATACCACTGTTGCCCCAATTGATGCATTTTGAAATTTATTTTTTTTCTTTGAAATAAAATGATTTGGAAAAAAACATTATTTTCCAGCCAAATCTTAATTCTGCCATGGGAACAGACTGTGTACACAGTGTAAACTTCCAGGTACTTAAGGACGGGTGTCACAGGTGTGTTGCTTGTGCTTCCTGTGCAGTGTGAGTGTACAGCAGTACAGTATGCAGCCAGAGCCCAGGACGTCTACAACAAGAGGCAAAGCATCAGGGACGTAGAGGGGACTTAGGGAGCAATTCATAGACTAATGCTAACAACATAATAAAATCAGTAGACAGCAGTTTGCAAAATGATTCCTTACAAGCAATCCCAGTGATACTGTGTCTTCCCATTTTCAATGTTGCACCTTCTCCTCAGATTACATCCTGACCTGAAAGTTGGATTAATGCACACCAACTTCTAAGAAGGTACTGTCTCTCCCTGCTGCTAAGGGAAAAGGGCAGGCCTACAGCACAGGACAGCAGTGGCGGGGACAAGTGGCAAAGGCTTCCTTGGTGGTGGCAGCTGCACTGGGCGATCTCAAACTCCTTCTGCCTCTAAAACTCCCTCAACTCCTGCCTAGCATTGAGCAGATCACATCTTTGGAGAAAGCGTCGTCATCTTCTTTGCTGATGTGATCAGGGCTGTTGGGATTTAAAAGCATGTGTTTCACTTTGTTACTTCCACAAGGGGTGTCCCCAGTGATGCACTTGCAGCCGCTGTCTTCTATCGTGGAAGGCTGTGTCTCTGGCTGTGGTGAGGTCTCTGCATAGGGGGCACATCCTAACCATTGGGGCAGTGGGGTCAAGCTTATTGAGCTCAGCCAAGAGTCCCTACAGCCATGCCCAAAGCTGCTGTGTCAAGGCCTGCTGGGCTCAAGGGTTTGCACTGTACCAACCCTGGGACTGGCTATCTCCCATCTCTGCAGAAGAAAGCTCACTGCTGGACGCCAACCATTTGATTCTTCATTTGTCATCTGTAGGCTGGGAAAATATTTTTAGAGAGGCTGAAAGGAACAGAAGAATCTAGTTTCAGCCCCGCCCAGTAGACTTAGCAAGACTCTGTCTCAAAAGCAAGGAAGACAGGATGGGATGTGTCAGGGATGCCTCTGCAGGCAAAGGCCCTGGGCTCAGTCCCCAGGACTGCAGAGCTGAGGAAAGCAGGAAGTGCGATGTGCCCAGTCTTGTTGCATACCTTTTAAGCAAGGTGCCCAAGGCACAAATGGGAGGGAAGTGGGGCCACATCCTAGTTACTTATTGCAGATTTGCTGCTCTAGTGATTCTGTGACACTTCAGAGATGACACTCACAGATGCCCTCGAGGGTAGCAAGCACCACGGAGACACAATCTTCAGCAGAATTTCAACGTCACACTGACACAGTAGGCTTGGAAAATTAGTTGTAAAATGACCAGATTCAATCTTTTTTTTTTTTTTTTAATCGGTACCGGGGATTAAACTCACGACCACCTGCTTGCAAGGCAGGTGCTTATGCTGCTGAGCTAAATCCCCAGCCCCTCAAACCAGTACCTGATTATTCTATGCAAAAATGTGCTAGTTAATGAGATTACTAATAAAAAAAAAAATCATGACACAATTCTTGAAATAGGAGCTTTTTCTTAACACTGAGTTAGAAGGTAAATCACTGCAGTGTTCCAGAGGCAAACCAGCACTTTTTTTTGGTTTGTGTGTGGTGTGTGTGTGTGTGTGTGTATACCGGGGGTCAAGCTCATGACCTTATGCATGCAAGACAGATGTTTATGCTGCTGAGCTAAATCTCCAGCCCTATTTTTATTGAGACAGGGTCTCATTATATAGTCCAGGCTGGCCTTAAACTCACTGTGGAGCAGAGTCTGGCTTTGAACTTGAGGCAATTCTCCTGCTTCTTCCTCTTAAATGCTGGGACAACAGGTATGAAAAGTACCAAACAGAGAAGGAGAATCAGTTGTTTAAATGTACAGAATCATGAACATCGAGTCAGCACCAATCTGTCTGAATGCTCAAATCCAAGGTAAGAGCAGAGGTTCTGGCCATTTGCACCGGCTCTGGAACAGGCCCATGAATTTATCACGGGTGTCTATAATCTCAGCACTCAAGGAGGCTGGGACAGGAGGATTGCTTGGAAGTTCGAGGCTGGCCTGGGATCCACAGTGAATTCAAGAATAAGTTCCACGTCAGACTAACCCTGTCTTAAAACAGAATGAGAACATGAATGAAAATCAGGAACCATTTTGTTTTACCTTTTAGAACAAACAACTTATAAGCACATTCTTTTTTCCTTTTGAAGATACCAAAATGTTATGCTAATCTGGACTTTACTATCTGAAAGAGAAGCAAATCCTTTTTAAGTAAATACATAAGTAGAAAGGTAAAGAGGATAAGTAAAATAGCCAACAAAGACAAGTGAAGCACATTAGTTAGGCTTTTAAAGTACAGTAACCCATCCAGTCATGGTTTTCTAAAGGTTACATTTCTCACTTACCATTAACAGCTCACTTTTCTGTGTAATGATCAAAATAAACACCAGACTGCAAATCAAATATAGGAAGACCCAAGATTGTCTACCTAAAATGTAAAACACCACAGAATCGCTTTAATAAAAAGAAAATAATTTTATTTGCATATCAAAGACTAAGTAAGACACGAAGACATCACCAGGCCAACAGCGCCAACTGAGGAAAGCTGAGGGGACCCTTCCCTGGCCTGCCAGGCACGGGATCAGCACACAGGACCCGGCCCCACCAATCAGTCCTCCGCATCCTTCTTCTTTTTCTTTTTCTTCTTTTTCTCTAGGTTCTAGAAATAATCAACAAGGCTTTTGAATGAGCTGTAATTGTACATGTAATAACTTTTCTACATAAAATGAACCTACATTTCTTGCAGTCAATTTTAGGAGCAAGATTTAAATCCAAAATGTCACAAGTACTCCCAAAAGAGTGAGTTCTGGGGTACAGGTGTGACACAGGATGGGACACTTGCCTAGTGTGAGCCCCAGCTCTGAGGCCTAGCACCCTTGGATCAAAACCCTGCAACCTCTCCATTAGGAAAGCTGCTCCCTTCTGGAGGCAGCACGGGGGAGTGGGCATTTTACTCAATAGGCTGCACTATGCTGGCCCACAGAGAGCCCTGCCCTGCCCTGCCCCGCCTGGGAGGCGGAGTGAGACCAGCAGACTTACAGCAAGTGCTGTGCTGCTGCTGGGCTCCTCCTCTGACATCTGCTCTTCCTTAATGTGCTTCTTCTTCTCCTTCTTCTTCTTCTTCTTCACGGACGTCTCCTCTTCTACCACTAGTACTTTCTCCTCTCCTTCTACCTCCTCCTCTTCTTCCTCAACTGGAAAAAGACACCATGCAATTAGAATTTGCTCCTTGCAAAATTACGATTTTCCACCATTCAGCATTCAGTTCATCATGAGTGACATTCAAGGTGATCTTCCCAGCATACCCACTTTAGAGATGCACAGCACAGCTCACCGAGAAATGCTGCGACTGTCTCATGCTCAGGTGTCAAGACTCAGGAACAGACTACAAAACAGGTCCCCTTCCTACTAAGCCCACTGTTAGTTATGAGAACGCACTCCAAAGACCTGGATTTATTTTACTGTTGTAATGAATTCATTTACATTTTGAGACAGTGTCTCCCTTTGCAGTGCAGGCTGGCCTTGGACTCACACAGATCCCCCTGTCTCAGCCTCCTGTGTCCTGGGATTATAAGCATGCAACATTATACTTCACTTAAATATAAGTAATTTAGCCTCTGTGAAACTCAGTATCTTTATCTGGCAACTTAAGCATATTTATTCATTCATTTGGGAGATACCATCTTGTCATGTCATTCAGCTCAGCCTCACTCACTGTGATCCCTCCTGCCTCAGCTTCCTAAATTCTGGGATTACAGACATGTGCTACTATACCTGGCTCTTAATGGTATTTAAAACTCTTATCTTATTAAATTTTATTTTATAGGCAGGGTGAAGAGACACGTATTATAGATAGTAATTAGTGTTAAGGTCAAAAACAAAGTGAGAGAGCTGAGGACATAGCTCGGCAGCACAGTGTTGGCCTGGCAAACATGAAGTTGTGAGTTCAATTCCCAGTACCAACAAAAAACAAAGCAGAAACAAAAACAAACAAAGCAGCAAGAAATGCAATGTTAGGGATGGGCAGGGCAGTCACCCAGACATTCCAGGAAACTGCTTTTCAGAAGCGAATGAGATATGTACCTGGGAATAATATCCCAAGAAGAGAGAAGAGCAAAGGCAAGATATCGAGGATTTGGACAGGGGGAAGACAGGGAGCAGTGAAGAGAAATTGACTGGCAAGGTAGAAAAAGCACAGCAGAGAGGCCATGGAGATAGAATGGAGCTGGTGCGCGATATGGCCCTGGCACTGTGCTTTCACAGCAGGGCCAGGAATCTGCAGCAGAAGCACCAACTTGGATTCAGAGGCTAAGTGATGGGAACTGCCACTTAGGAGATAGGGAACCATGGATCGGTAACTGAGTCCCGTTAACTCTGGATACACTGCACTGTTGAGGGTCAAACGTGCACCTCAACATTTCAAACAGCAATAATAGGTTAGGGAACTACTTACTCTGCAGTGAGGACATGCAGGTTAAACAACTTCATCAAGGTATGTAGCCCACATCTGAGTATACTTTTGATGACAGAGCACTTAGAAGCTAAGTTGAATGAGTCCCCCTGTAATGCCCTATGCAGTGGTGAGTATCCACCACACACATGCCATGGTGTGCACAAGGAAGCCACACGCATGCTTGGGAAGGAAGGTAGGATCTGTGGTGGCCATGTGCCTGGGCCCTGAAAGGTTCATTGCTGCTGCTCTCCTGAACAGGTGGGAGCTTGAGGACCACAGGTGACACCAGTGATCAGGTTCAAGCTTGCCAGTCCCCAGCCCAGCCCCTCCACGATCATAGCTGTCAAGAAAACCCACGCTGCGCCATTCTGTCCCACAGCACATACTGCTGAACCTAAATTCCAGGACACGTGGTAAAACACAGGTGCATCATTTAAACAAATAAAAATCTAACCTTTAATTTTAATCTTGGCTTTTTTGGCTTTCTTTTCAATCACTTCATCTTCTTTATCCACTTGTTCTATCTTGCGTTTTTTAGAACAGGTTGGAAGTGTTGAGTCACCAGAGGGATCATAAATCTTCACTTCACTGAAAAAGCCAAGGCATCTTAGATAATCTCCATAAACATCTACCACTAAAATAATTCTCAAAAGAGAATATTAGAGAAAATATTCACACAGCTGTATCATTTTATCGACTCTACAGTTTATCAAGACTAATACAAAGTTTCTAAAAGGTAAAGGTACTAATTGCATTCAAGAGAAGAGGTGAGCTAAACAAACTGATTTCATAATCAACACAGTTCCCATTACACAGGAAACAAGGATAGAGACCAATGGAGAAAAATCTCTTTACAACCACAGAGGATAAAACGGAATCAATTGAACTTGCAAGTGAGTAAATGAAAAAATAGAACAAAATGGCAAAACTAAGTTCAGGGAAGAAGTCTTCATTATGAGACCCTAGGAGATAGAGGGATAGGGGATAGACATGCGTTTTTTGTTCTAAATACTAAAATACCGAATGTTTCAAATTTAATGACCATAACTGTTTTAAACATTAAGTTGTGCACTGGCACTAGAGTATAAAAAAACTGCTTTGAAACAAGGCAAGAGAATGCGCTATTTTTAAGTTTAACCCAAAGATGAATGACTGATAACTTTTTTTTGGTATGGGGAACCAACGTCAGGACTTTGAACTTGCCAGGCAGGTGCTGCATCACTGAGCTATACCCACGGGCTGGCTGTTAACTTTTATAGGTTACAAACTTTTTTTTTTGGGTCTTTCTGAGACAGGCTGGCATTTAACTTGCAGTGATTCTCCTGCCTCAGCCTTAAGTGCTGGGATTATTGGCATGCACCACCACACCCAGTGCTTGTCTTCTTCTAGACAGTTTCACTGCATGTTAACTCTATAAACCTCTGTGATAAATGACACTATCAAAACTGACATGGCTGAATACAGTATGTGTGGATGAGTAAACTAGATATCAATACAGAAAGCGGCATGGAAAAAGTGCAGGTGTGATGTGGTTCATCAGTGCTATACTTTGAAAATGGCTTAGATTTTATACTCTAACCACATACACACAACAAAGTAAGGGACACATGCTTTAGCCTTCCATGTTTCTCACATAAACATGACATAACTAACATACATAACATCAAACAATTAACAAAGATCATGGGCTTATTGAGGTGTGCATATTACAGTAAAAAATTTGGCATAACATCAAAATAAAACGTTCACCCACCCTCCCTAAATGTACTCACCTTTTGTGCTCATATTTTTCTGCTTTTGCCAATGCCTTTCCCGTTCCACTTATTTTTCTTATCTAAGGAAAAAAGAAAACTGTTAGTCAGCTCTAAGTGAGTCCCATTGTAATACACTGTCAAGATAACCAATGGACCAGCAAAAGGCCACTGTCAGGGTTGTTGCTTTTTACTTGGAACAGCATTGCCTTTAACAGCAACCCAGTACTGTTTAACCACACATCAGCTCCTCGAATACACAATAAAATGTATCACAAAAGAACACGCAGTATTCGAGTTCCTAGATTACTCAGTTTGCTAACATTGCAGAAGGCAGGACAGGATGCTTACCCCTCTGTCTTCCAAGCTTCTCAACCTGGCTTCTAATTTGGCTCTGTTCTCAACTCCCATTGCAGAACTGGAATCTTCCCCAAAGGCATCATAACGAATAGCCAGAACAGTTTTGGCTGCCAGCATTCGAGAAATCTAACAGCATAATATTAGAAGAAATCAACTGTATTTCAAGTGAAAATGTAAAAATCATCACAGTTCATGCATAAGAAAACTGCAGCAAATCACATCAGATTCTAGGATCTTTTGAAATAAGGAATTACAGCAGTATTAATATATTTCCTAGTCTTGGCCACCACATAACAACTGGTTTTATATCATCAACATTTAGGTGGATGAAAAGATCTTATTTTAAAGAGTTCACTCCTAGAATTAGCTCAGTGTCTATTCAATGGCACTATTTCTAAACTTAGGGTTTTCCAGAACAAGTATATCCTTTTCCAATTCGTCTAAGCCTAAGGTTTCATCACTGTAAAACACAGATACCTCTTTCCAGTTGTTAAAGGATTCGATGGAGCCTTTGCTAATTGCAGCCATATATATGCTGTTACTATTGATAATCTATAAATGTTAAGACTGGTTTCCTGCAAACTGAATACTCTTGGTGTACACCTACAGTTGGATCCTAGAAGCACAATAAAACAAAACAGCTCTAGCAGGACCAGCAACAATTCCTTTTAATCTTTTCTTTCATTGTAAAAAAAATGTGTCTAAGCAATACACCATTCTCTTTAATGAGAAAGAGGTGAATAACAGATTTAATGTACACTACAACCAGGAGTGGAGAAGTGTGGGTGAGGAAGAGCCCTCACCTTTCCTTTGTGTTTGGGACTCGTCTGACCCACGAGGGAGGCATGATAAATGAGGCCATATTTTGGGGTGTCCCGCCGCGACTTGAGGGCTCTGAAAAGTGCCTTTTCTGCACCAAGAATCTGAACTGTAGATGCTGCATGCTTGGCCAAATTCAAGAGAGAGCCTACAAAAAAAAGCAAATAGTGATAAATAATGTCATATTAGAGCTGGGCATGGTCACACACTCCTGTAATGCCAGCACTCGGGAGGCTGAGGCAGGCAGATGGTTACCAAGTTTGAGACCAGCCTGGGCTACAAAGTGACCTCAAGGCAAGCCTAAACCGCTTAGTGAGACTCTATCTCAAAAAGACAAAACAAAAACAACAATCCTTTCTCATATTAAACAGGAGACCTTTAGTATGATTAAAGCTACAGTAATACATAAAATTCATTCAATACACACTCTGCAGTCCTATCCTGAATCCCCTGAAAATCCTAACATTTCACTTATAACTTCTAACACAAGATTTGTGGTGCATGTTTGAAACAAACTGAGCTCAGCTATACTTATTTATCTGAGGTAAGCACTGCACTTCTATTCTCCATGCATTAGCAGACCCTAAGAGCTATGCAGGCAGAGAGCATATACATTTATACTTACACCAATCTGGCCCCATTTCCTGAGACTTGCACATCGAATATTCCAAGGCTTTAAATATGTATTAGGTATCTCAGTAAGATAACTATATGATAAATTATTCACTCTATTTACCTTTCTTTCAGATATGGATTAGGGAAGCGATGATAGGCCTAGAAGCATATAGACTGCTTTAAGATTTACTGCATAATATTCTGAGTGTATTTTCTCAGAAAACCCAATGCTGTAACTCAAGCAGCAAAAAATAGGTTTAAAGTAAGTCATATTTTTGTTAAGTCTATCCATCTTTTACTGCTGCATGTGTGGCTCTAACTATGAAGCTGAGGTACAGGCAATGAAACCAGCTCAGAGGATCACAATCTTGTACCAAAGATTGTATGCTAGTGGACTACATCTCTGACAAATAAGGTAGTTAAAAAAGTGCCAGCCAAAAGACTTTGATGTAGATGATACACAATGAGATTATCTGTGACATAGTATAACAATGTCTCCAGCAATATAAATACTCCATATATGCAGGTTTTCAATTACAGTAATTTTTATAACATACTCTTCTTACAGTATTATCACATGTATCTTACATTTTATTATAAAATGATTAAAATGTTTTCCAGTCAACTACATTGAAATAACTCAAAGAAACAGATAATCACCTCCTGAGGGCTGAGATTACAGGTGTGCGCCACCATACTTGGCTCCAAACCCTTAAGTTCTTAGGAAAATGCTCATCTTCATTTCCATCTGACTATTCTAATTAACCATAACGAACTGCTAACAATGGACCACAAGTGTCTCAGAAGAGGTAGTGACTAAAGATGCCTTCATTGTCCAAAAGGATATCAGGCAAACAAGTAAAAATCATCATTGAACACTTGGCCATTTTTATCTTTAATAATGGTAGTTTAGAGATTTAAAAACAAATTACATCAAAACTGTCACCTGCATGAGCAATCAGCCGCGCTCCAACCAACTCGCCAACCATAACTGTCACATTGGGTGCAATGGCCATCATTCGGTTTTGGAGATACTCATACAGCTGGGTCCTGTATTCGGAGATTTCAATCACCTGACAAAGAGCACCATGAGAAAGTCAGTAATAACCATGCATAAAAACAGTGCAAAATCACATCTAAAACACTGGATCCCAACAGCTGGGGATGGCAACACACACTTGCAGTTACTGCTACTCAGGATGGTCAGCCTACAAGTGTGAGGTCAGCCTGGGCAACACCACAAAACTCATTTTGTTCATTCTTTTTCTCTGACAGGGACTTCCTGTGTCATGGTCCTATGCCTCAGCCTCCTGAGTAATGGGATTACGGTGAGTACCATCCTGTCTGACATAAGGGCCCAACTACAAACAAAGCAAATACAGTTCCCATTAGAGCTTTAATTTATCAGAGTACTTAACTGACCCTAGGTAGACTTACTCCTAACATTACTTTTCCTACTGGGTTTCACTCAACTCATACCAAAGCTAGTTCAAAATTCACTTCACTGGGCCAGGTAGATTTAGCTCAGTGACTCAGGCGCTTGCCTGATAAGCGCCAGGTTGTAAGTTCAATCCTCAGCACAAAGCAAACAAGCAAGCAAATGAACAAAACAAAAAATCCCCAAAACAGCCCTACGTCATGGTAGTCTTTCCACTCTTCCCCCAGTGTATAAACTGAGATGGCATCAGATGAGGTAGTGACTGAACACTCTCATACTGTCATCAGGTGAACAATACATGTAAAAATCATCATCGCCATCATCAATGACCAGCACAGTGAGGCTGCCACTGGACAATATGTGGTTGTAGCTCACCTGAGTGCACAGATGCAGAATATTGCAAATATCTTCCTCGGAAACCTCTGTTCCCATTGATATCTCCGCAGCTGCTTTCACCTCAGCTTCAACATCCTCTGGCAACAACTCAGAAAGCGTGGCAGAGGCGTAGTTCTTCCTATCACCTATGAAAAGGATCAGAGGGAAAATATCACTCAACAAATCATAAAACCTACCAAAGAGTCTAAATGAGAAGTAGAGATAAGCCAATGAAAAGGATGTCTACATAAAACAAAGAGTGGACAAACCTGACCTAGCCTGTAATCCCAGCATTCAGGAGGCTGAGGCATGAGGATCACTGTGAGTTAGAGGCCAACCTGGGCTACAAATACAAAGTGAGTTCTAGGCCAGCCTGAACTGTCTAGTGAAAGCTGCCCCCTCCCCACAAAAAACAAAACAGTCCACAGACACTTGTTTCAAAAAGGCAGCAAAGATTAATGAAATATATATAACAGCTTCAATACAATGAAGCTAGAGCCAACTATTTGGGGGATGATAATATGGTAATGTAATGACCACCGAACTCATATTTATTAACAATTTTAGAATGTAACAGTAGTAACATAGATAGCTATGCTCAGTACTAGTACTCAATATTATAAACATATTTCATAATTCTTCAATCTCGGATCACCCTTATAAATACCAACTTCACTGACACTTATTGCCAATTTATTTTAAGAAAAAAATCATTCCAAAAAGGGCAGCAAAACAAACAAAAAGGAAGCTGCTCTCTGTTGCAGGCATTGATTAAAGTTAAAATTTACTTCATTTTGAAATCTAAAACAGCTTTATTTCTCCAATATAAATTAAAAAAAAAAAATCCAGAAGTCTTAGGGAAAAAATTTAACATTTGGGGACATATTCAAACTCAAATATCTTAAGGGATAAACAAAGTACTCACCAACTTTCTGTAAACACTTGCAGTATGTCAAGTTATCTGAAATAATTTTTCCTAATTCTGGGAAATGCCAGCCGTACCACTCTCTACAACGCATAATGTAGTTGTTCAGTTCTTTATCCAAGTCATCTAACAAGGCTGTAATAAAGTAAAAAAAGGAATGTGGTAATAGACAACCATAAAATTTACCTTTAAACATTTTGCAAATGTGTATCTCAGTGGCATTTAGCACATTTGTATATCTTGCAACCATTAACATTATTCACTTGCAGAAATTTTCACCATTCTTAAAACTGAAAATCTCAGATGTAGTAAAATACAACTCTCTCTTCCCACCTCTCACTTATTTTTATGCTACTTTTAGTCTTCCTAAATGAATGTCTATCCTAGATACCTTGTGTAAGTGGAGTCATGTGATACTTGTCCTTTTGTAGTTGTCTCATTTCTTAGCATGACTTTAAGGCATATCTCATACGTTACAACTTCATACCCTTTCAGTCTTCAGTATTTTTTTCTTTTTTGGGTGCCAGAAATCAAATTCAGGATCTTGTGCTTCCCAGGCAGGCAATGAGCCACTGAGCTACATTCCTGGCTCTTTGTTTTTTTGGAGACATGGTCTCACTATTTTAAACTAGTCTTGAACTCACTATGTAGTTTAGGTGGGCCTCAAAATCCTGGCAATCCTTCTGCCTCAGTCTCCTGAATGCTGGTTTGCAAGCATGCACCAACATATCCCACTGAGAGCACCATTTCTTATTAAAGCTGTGTGATACCGTAAATGTGATTCACTTGTCTGTTAATAGGTATCTGAGCACTGTAAACAATGATGCTGGGGGCTGGAGATTTAACTCAGCGGTATAAGCGCCTGCCTTGCAAGCAGGCAGTCGTGAGCCCGATCCCCGGTACCGATAAAAAGGAAAAAGACAAAAAAAACAAAACAAACAAACAAACAAAACCAATAAACAATGCTATGAACACGGTGTGCTAGTACATGGAACTCAGTGCCTAACTTCATTTTTCTTAGGTATCTATCTAGCACCCGAATTGTTGATTACAGGGATTTTAGAAAGTAGAAAATGCTACTGATGTTCCTAAAAGATGATTCCACACTCAAAATAACCAATTAAAAGACATCTGGGCACAGTAGTATACGCCTGTGATCCCAGCAACTGGGAGGTTGAGGCAGGAAGAATGCTATGATTTCAGGGATGGCCTAGCAATAAATGAGACCCTGTATAAATAAAGAGTGAAAAAAGAAGCTCCGTAGGAGAGCACTTGCCCAGTACACATACAGCAGCTGTGGGTAATAAGACTCAACCCGACTACGAAGGGGTGCCAAAACCAACCAACCAACACACAAATAAAAACAAAGGTCAGGGGCAGGGATACAGCTTAGGGGCATAAGGGCCTTCCTGGCAAAGTACAAGGTCCTGAGTTTTTTTTTCTTTTTTTTGGTACCAGGGATCGAACTCACGATTGTGCACTTGCAAAGCAGGCGCTTACACCACTGAGCTAAAATCCCTGGCCCAAGGTCCTGAGTTTTTGATTCTTGGTACAAAAAACCAAAACAGAACAAAACAAAAACCAAAGGTTAAAAAAAAATCAGGGGCTGGAGATTTAGCTCAGCGGCATAAGCACCTGCCTTGCAAGCAGGCAGTCGTGAGTTCAATCCCCCGTACCGATAAAAAGGAAAAAGACAAAAAAAAAAAAAATCGGAAAACACCCACTGTATAATTCTACCTATAGGTTGTCTTTTGGTGCCAAGAATTGAACTTGGGCCTTTGTGCTCATCAGGCAGGTGCTGTCCTAGTTTTAATCTTATTCATGGAAAAGACAAATGAATTAGTTTGCATGTGTAATATGATTCATTTTATCTCCCACTAATCAAATACAGTATGCCCCCACAAAGCAATCTCAGTCCTTTAGATTTTTCCTTAGAATAATTCTTCTCTGAAACTGCAGTTGGCCACGCAATTGTTTTTGTTTGTTTTGGTGGGAGGTTTGCAAGTAGCCAATAATCCGAGCGCTATTCAGCTCTCCTTGCTGCTGACTGGCTGCTCCCTGTTACCCCATCTCTGATTGATGCACCAGCATTTCCACATCAGAACAAGGTATTAGTTTTATTCTTCTTAAGGACCTATGAGCCCACCAAAATGTCCTGCACTTTCTAAAGCTTTATTATAGTATTTTATTAAAATAAATTACATAACCAGGAAACAAGGCATATTTAGGGTTAAGTTTTAACTAAGAAAATAGGCAAGTTTCAGATGACATCTGAAACTCAATTTTTCAGTTTGCAAATGCTCTAAAAACCAGGAATTTAAGGGGCCCACTGTAAAGGGTTGCCAGCTCTCCTTTTGTACTTTGCTTTTCCAATTTATCCATGCTACCTACTAAGAAGTCTAACTCCATGGTGGTGAACTTATAGCACACATGCCACAGCTGGCTGAGCATTATCACTGAGGGTCTAAAAGGTTAGGGTTACTGGTCTAGCTCACCTCCTTTCTCTTTCAACAGACCATTTCTTTCTTTTTTTTTTTTTTAAATCGATACGGGGATCGAATGCAGGACTGCGTGCTTGCAAGGCAGGCGCTTATGCCATCCCTAGCCCCAGACCATTTCAATAGTAAGAAAAAAACCACAAAGAACAGATAAAGAGAAGAAACTTCACCATGTGTTATACTTACAAATTGCCTGAACAATCATTGTATCCACTTTATCAGCGCTAAATTTCAATCTGTATCTAGACAGGCTGGGGAGAGTGGGGAAAACCAAATTAACAAAGTAGCATCTAGGAAAAGCATTTAAATTCCCATCTTAAAATTCTTTTATTTTCCCCTAGCCATGAATGGTGACACTCACCTGTAACCCCAGTACCTAGGAGGCTAGGGCAGGAAGACTGCAGGTAGCCTGCCCTACAGAGCTAGACAGATTCTGTCTTAACTTCTTTTTTTTTTCTTTTAACTTTTTAACGGTACCGGAGATTGAACTCATGACCGCCTGCTTGCAAGGCAGGTGCTTATGCCGCTTAGCTAAATCTCCAGCCCCCCTGCTTCTAACCCAACTTCCTCTTAAGAGTTTCTTTCTCAGGGCTGGGGATTTAGCTCAGTGGCATAAGTACCTGCCTTGTAAGCAGGTGGTGAGTTCAATCCCCGGTACCAGAAAAATGCAAGTTTCTCAGTTTTCCTAAGAAAAACTAGTTATATACAAATGTGTTGCACAAGATGAGAAAATATGTACTTAATAAAAATATGCTCATCTTGTTACAAAAAAGTTTATATGTGAATGACAAATCATGTGATTTTTCTGTAGACATTAAGGTTTTTATATTGCCCAAAGGAAGAAATACTACCGGACTCCAACATGGGTTGGAATACAGAAAGCTACTGAGGAACAGTATCATATGCAAGGTTTTCTTAACTTTGACACTATTTACACTTTGGCCTCAGCATTCTTTGTTGTACATTATTCCGAGCACCATAGGTCATTTTCAGTTTCTCTACCTTTTATGAATTAGATGTTGGGAACCGAGGTTACCTTACACCTGTGGTAACTAAAAATATTTATGGCCAGGTGCGCTGGCACAAGCCATCCTAGCACTTGGGAGGCTAGGCAGGTGAACTGTTGCAATTTGGGGGCCAGCCTGTGTTACAAAGTGAGTTCAAGGCCTGCCTGAATTACACAGTGAAACTGTCTCCACATACACACACACAAATGTGCTGGTTACCAAGTTGCATAGGTTTTAATTACAGTGGTGCTTCATTTCACAAATTCTTCTGTTTGAGACCAGAATCATGGAAAGAATTAAGTTCACGAACTGGACACCTCTACCCATAACCTTTTACTTCCCAATTTTTAATGCAGTTTCAGAGAATATTAAGCTTTTGATAATTGATGGTGTAACAGTAACATATGCTAAGGGACACATAGTTACATGAGAGGGATAAAGTGTTTCTTTTTGCTTTATCCTGCAAATTCATTATAAATGAGACTCACAGTGATACCAAACAAGTACACCACAGTAGATAAAGAGAATTTTGGGAACTGGCAAGTGGGTAGAGGAGTAGCACATGACTTAGCAGACACAGAAATGGAAGGGGCCATCAGTTCTTGCGTGGCATGTTCCTATGATGAAGTTTCAAAAGTCCAAACAACTGTTGGGCATGGTAGCCAGGCCTATAAACCCAGTCCTCAGAAGGGGGAGGAGTCCCAAGAGTTCAACTCAAGGCCAGCCTGGGCTACATGAGACCCTGTCTCAGAAAATCACAGTGCAGACAAGAGCCAGACTGTGTGTACAAATCCTGCCCTTACCTCTTACCAGGTACACTGAACTCGGGCATCAGTTTCCTCAAGGAGATAATGTTAGCATCTTTCTCCTAAGGTTGTGATGAAGATTAAATTAACCTCTTAGCAGTTTACCCTAAGCATCTCTTGGGCTGTGTTTGTTTGCACAGTGACTATCAGGTGTCATTTCAACCAGTCAATTCCTATACTGAATAAAGTTGATAAAAATTGCTTTTTATGGGGGCTGGGGATTTAGCTCGGCAGCATAAGCACCTGCCTTGCAAGCTGGCAGTCGTGAGTTCGATCCGCGGTACCGATAAAAAGGAAAAAGAAAAAAAAAATAAATAAATAAAAAATAAAAATAAATTGTTTTTTATATTTCCTGTCCTATTATAAAAATGACAATATTTCCTGTCATATTAAAAAAAATCCTAAGTGCTGGGATTATATGGCCATGCAAGTTTTGGTCATCCTGTACTTACATAATTGAACTGTGTTACATTAGTACTTTTAACATTTTCACAAAATGCGCTTGTGGAACATAAATAAGCCCTCTTCCAGTAATTCCTACCTGTGGGCCAATCCCAGACACATGGCTGCCATTTCCCGTGGTTCGACTCCGGGGATTAATCCATCCATCTGTGACCTGATTCCCCTCATCAGCTCATTAACCACAGGACTGTGGATACAACTGAGATTCAACTTTTCCTGCAAAACGTGTATTTTGTTTAAAGTAAAAAGTTATCCTCAAATTATTTGTTACATGTTAAAACAGCACTGATTTATATGTACTCATTCCTCACTTTTGACAGTCTAAGTTTCTGGTACGTTTATGGAACAACATTCAAGTGAACTCAAACTTAGTGAACTTTCTGGAAAACAGCCTGCTACATGAATCAAAAGCTGCAAATGATAACACAATCCTCTTCGGTGATTTCCTTTATTTCTTTGACATTTCCTTTATTCCTTTAAAAAGTTAACAGGAAGGCAATCAACTCAAGACCTCCTCCCAGCTCTCAGGAGCTAGTCCAACTCCTCATTCCTAGCCCCCCTCCCACTGTTTTTGGTACTATGGATTGAACTGATAACCTTCCGCTTGCCAGGCAGGCACTTATGCTGCAGAGCTAAATCCCTGGCCCCCTAGTTCCCATTTTTATTCCCCAATAAATTTTCCTACTCTTAAAAAAAAAAAAAAGTTAAAAGGTATATACTTGTAAGAGTTTAATACTGAATGAAAAGCCAAAGTTCCAAGCGTAGGTCCTCCCTTAAATATAAACCTACATTCATGTCTAAATGTAAACACATGAGTATTTACAAAGTTAAATCTTTATTAACTCACAAATAGGGTAGCCATTTTTTCTATACACTTTTCCACTGTGTAGTGTTCACTACTTCTGCAGACAGCTCTACAGTTTTAGCTCATGCCAAGCAATGGCCACGCAAAGGGTGTTATGTATCGTACCAACTCCAAGAACAAACAAAATATGTAATGTATTATACAGATGATAGTCAGTAAAATTTTGTTAAATAGAGAAATCAAAAATAAAAAATTAAAGATACCCATAAACCTGTCAACCCGGGTTGGGGATTTAGCTTAGCAGCATAAGTGCTTGCTTTGCAAGCGCATGGTCTTGAGTTTGATCCCCGGTACCAATTAAAAAAAAAAAAAAAAATCTGTCAACTCAGCACCATTCCCTTTCTATGAGTCTTTTTGATATCTTTATATCACATGTAGTACTGTTTACTGAACTATATTTCTATAGGCATTCATTCTCTTGAGCTTAATGTCAATATGCAGAACTTGGAATAGTAACTTCAGTCTTAGGATAATGAAAATGTTGCTTCACTCCCCAGTGTGCTAAAATTTTAAGTTTTTTGCGATATGAGAACCAAACTCAGGATCTTGCACTGCTTGCTAGGCAGGTACTGTGCTGTTGAGCTATATCTCTGGCCCTAAAATTTAGTTTTTATCAGAAAAACAAAGGGCTAGGGATTTAGCTCAGTGGCATAAGCGCCTGCCTGGCAAGGTCATGAGTTCTCTCCAGTACCAAAAAAACCAAAAAAGTAACTGTAGAAAAACATGAAGAAAGCTTGTGGTCACATCAAAGAATATAGAGCCTATCTACAATCATAGGAAACCTCATTTCCTGACATTAGAAATAATTTATATAAATGAATTTTTTTGAGATAAAGTCTTGCTGTATAGTTCAGACTGGCTTCAAACTCATCATGAGCCTCTTGTCTCAGCCTCCCAACTGCTGGGATTATATGTGCCAGCATGTAAAGCTGAAAATGAACTTTCCTTACTTCACCAGATGTTTATAATCTAAAGTAACCACCCCTGAAATAATTAACTGGTGAATATCATACTTACCGTAACTGTTCTTAGACTACTCTGCTTCTTTAAGTTCAGCAGGTTTTGCAGTGTTTCTACTCTCATCTTGTTTCACCTCTAGCAAATACCCGCCCTCCGAAATATGCTCTAAAACATCATGACCCTATTTTTGTTGAAAGAAAAATTTGTGCCCAACCAAAAGGATAAATACAGTACACTGACTATTATGTGTCAGTAGCAGTTTTTTTTGTACTAGGGCTCAAACTCACAACCTCATGGCTTGCCAAGCAGGTACTGTGCAGCTGAGCTATATCCCTGACAGGGTTGGGTGGTTTGTTTTGGCACAGGATCTCACTGTGTAGTTGAACCTGGCCTTCAACCCACTATATAGGCCAGGCATGTCTCGAACTCATGGGAATCCTCCTGCCTGAGTGCTGGGACTACAGGCACGATCTACCATAACCAGTCAGCAGCAGGCTTGAAGCTAATTTTTATCACTTGTATTATTCACTTCTATTTTCTGCAATGAGTAAAAATTACTTAGATCCTTAGTTCTGCTACTCTTGGTGGAAACTGATAGGTGAACTGGACAAAGATGAAGTAAAAGTCTTATGATTAACTTATTTCACAGAATTATGAGTATCTTTCATTTTTCCCTTTTAGTTTCTTGATTCACAAAGGCTTCGTAATTAGTATGCTGTAAGTGAAACCTGGCTACCGAGCATGACAGAAAATGACTTTTCATTTATGGTATCCATCCATCCTGATAGCAATAGATCAAACGCTGGGCCCTGTGCTTGCCAATCACACACTCTGTCTCTGTGCTATCAATACTCAAAGAGTCTCTGACCTTACCTTTATAACTCCCCCTAGTTTAGCATCAGCTACAGCAAGAGGTTCATGAGCTTCTTTTACTATTTTCTTCAACACTTTCTTCAGCTGCTTATTAATTTTGCCCTCCATTAGAGCTGTAAATGCTTTCCAGGGAAAAAAAAAGTTAGCTTAGATTTTCAATTGTGATGCTTGTCTTACAGCAATCAAATGCATCCTTTCCAAAGCCCTGTATTTAAATTTTACTTCTGAAAGTAAATGACTTATGTAATTATTTTTCTTACATATTTCAGATCCACATTTGATCCTCCCACCATCATTTCTGCTCCAGAGCCAGGAGCTGCTACACAAGGTCCAATCTTCCTTTCTCTACAACCCAGAAACCCCATGAACAGAATTATAAAATAGCAACCTTTCTGGGTAAGAGTCACTCTCCTTTCATTTTAGATTATCCTGATGTCCTAGACTAAAAAATACCCCACAAGCATATCAAAACAGATCAAAAAACAAAAAAAACCACATCAGATCAAAAAAGAGTACACTCCTTCTGAAGACTGTCACAATGTAAGAAAAATTTGAGTACATTTACATCCACTAAGACCAGTTTTGGTCTTACTATTTCAAAACTGCCTTCTGACCACCAGTGAGAATTCTCAGGAAATGACTCTAGTCAGTAAGGTGACACTCTCCTCTGTGATAAAATAGCAATGGGCACCACAAGGTATCAACAACTGAACCCCGTTTTTGTTTTGAGACAGGGTCTTGCTATGGTAGTTCAGGCTCATGCTGAACTCACCATGTTGCCTAGGCTGGCCTCAAATTTTTGACAATTTTTCTGCCTCGAAGTCTTGAGTGTTAGAATTACACGAGTGTACCACCATGCCTAACACGCCTGGACCCTTGACAGAGCTCATTACATCCATACATCTTCACTGAAGTACTGATTATAAACCCCAAGGCCAGACGCTGTGTTACAATCTAAAGCTTTGGCAGTTTAAGAGCAGTCTGTGCTTTACAGAGAGGTTGGACTGGAGAGATATTTTTCCTGTTTGGCAGTCCTGGACTTGAACCTGGAGACCTGTACATGTGAAGCACACATTCTACTACTGAGGGACACCTCCAGCCTTAGATTTGACTTTTAATTCTCACCTATATGGCATTTTCTCTACTTAAAAGTGAATGCAAAAATATTTCTCACATCAAATTTCACCACACTGGCTGGGGATTTAGCTCAGCAGCATAAGTGCCTGTCTTGCAAGCAGGCAGTCGTGAGTTCGATCCCTGGTACCAATAAAAACGAAAAAGACAAAAAAAACCAAAAACCAAAAACCAAAACAAAACAAATTTCACCACACATAATAAAGAGGAAATATTTACCTCAGGATTGTTTCAAGGATTAAGTAACTGTGAGGTCATGAGCATGATGAACTGGCGCATCATTGTGACCAATCCATTGGTTATTAATGGTAAAAACTTGCTTTTGTGGTGCCAGGCATGGTGGTGCATTCCTGTAATGCCAGCACTAGGGAGGCTAAAGCAGGTGGATCATTTCAAGCTTGAGACCAGCCTGGGCTATAAAGTGAGCCCAAGGTGAGCCTGAACTGCATAGTGAGACAGTCTCAAAAAAAAAGCAGATGTAGGAAGACCCTGTCTCAAACTAAAAACAAAACAAAATAGTAGGGGCTGGGGGTTTAGCTCAGCGGCATAAGTGCCTGCCTTGCAAGCAGGCAGTCATGAGTTCGATCCCTGGTACCGATAAAAACGAAAAAGACAAAAGACAAAAAAAAAAAAAAAAAAAAAAAGTAACAACAACAACAACAAAAATAGTAACAACAACAACAACAAAAAAAACCTGCCAGCTGGGACAAAAATTACAGTACCTGACCATCATTCTGGGACAAGTGGGTCACAATAGGACAGAGGAGGTATGTGAACAATGCCCTCTAGAGTTAGAAAACAGCTAACACAGGCTCCTTGGGACCCCACCACAACTCCACCCAGACCCACTGTGGCAGCAAAGCAGGCCTTTTAAGAAATTCTCCAGGAGGGCCCAGGATTTAGCTCAGTGGCATAGGTGCCTGCCTGGCAAGCATGAGGTCATGAGTTCAATCCCTAGTACCCACCCACCCAAAAAAATTCTCCAGGGTAACAGTAATGTATCTTATGGCTGAGGACTTGCTATTACTAGTGTGTTGACAAAGAAATTGGCCCTATTAATATTTTAGAATATTTTTCCAGATTCCCAGTTTTCACTCTGAGAATCCTATCTTTACCTGTGGTTGAATAACAAAATTATTGCATCTGTCAAACCTCCCCAACTGTAATCCATAATTTTGCTTACAGTTCTTCATTTACAAATTATACCACTGAGAGTTGGCTTATTTGCAGTAACAATTTAAGAAACTACACCCACCCTTCCTCTTTTGGCTACTCCTTATTAAAAAACAAAAATTCAAACCTGTAATATTTACTGAAGTTGCTCATAGTTAATAAACGTATCTCTTTATGTCTATTGTCCCACATGATGTCTAGTTTAAGGATAAAAGCCATCCACTCTTCTAAAATTTAAAAAATCCACACTTCTTTATATAAATAAAACTCTTATAGCACTCTATAGTTTGTACATGTATAAAACAATTCTCCACAATTTTGAATAATAGTGATATGATTTCTGAGTTAAAAAATACGTATTCCTGGACAGCTTTGCTAGCATTTTTTTCAGCTGTGAATTTTGGCTCTTCTCTACTTTAGTCTTGGGCTAAATTAGAACATTGTGTACTTGACCACATTACCTTGGTCCCTTGTAGAACAGCTTTTACTGAACTGCTTCAGCACTATGCTGCTGGTTTCCACAGGGAGATCAATTTAACCACGCCTCACCTCTCATCACATGGGGGAAACCAGCCTATGGTGAAAAGAGCTAACTCAACGTTGTCTCAGTGGTAGTGACGAATTTGAGTTAGATCACTTAAACTCAGTTGCATTAAGGATGCATCATTGACAACATTGAATAAGGTTAACTCAGGCAACTGAAGCAAACAACCATTTCAATAAGAAAGATTAAGTCCCAGATTTAAAAAAAAAAAAAAAAGCAAGCTTCTAGTTTCTGACTTTACCTGCTAATGCTTCTGCTGTGTCCTGAAATTTCTCGAAATGTTTTAGCTTTACTCTACAATTAAGAGAAGAAACATGTTATAGGGGGCACAGTGACGCTGCAAAAGATAGAAGCTGAGAAAGCAGCACTGGGTGTTTCCAAAGCACACACTAAAAAAAGAAACCTGATTGCCCCTGGGAATCGGATACAACCTTAATTATTTTTCATACTATGACTGGATTTCTAAATGCTGGCCTACAAAGAAAGCTGTAGGCTTTCAAAGATGCTTAGGACAACAATACATGAAGCTTCAAAAGAAGGCCTGCTGCTTAATGCTGGACATGACCCACTACACAATGTATCCATTAAAAAATTTATGAGCAGGGTAACATTTCATGTAGAAAGAAATGAGGCCTGGTATGGTGGTGTAATCCCAGCACTTGAGAGGCTGAGGCAAAAGGATCACCACAAGTTCAAAGCCAGCCTGGGCTATGACTTCAAGATCAGCTTAAACTACACAGTGAGACCCTGTCTCAAAGCACAAAGTAAACACAAAGTATATAAAATTAATTCATTGTTGCCTCAGTGGTAGTGACGAATATTTGAGTTAGATCACTGAGATTCAGTTCCAACAGGAATACATCATTGACAACAATGAATCAGATTAACCCAGCAAAGCATATATAGCACTTTAACAAGGAAAACTGAGGGCCAGGGATATGGTTGGTGGCACAGCGACTGCCTGGCATGTGCAAGGTCCTGAGCTCAATCTCTGGTACTAAAAACACAAAATAAAAATAACAAAATAATATATTCAGTTGAATATTACATGATACCTTTTTTTTTTTGGTACAGGGGATCAAACTCAGGATCTCATGCTTGCCTGGAAGGCATTTGCATCTGTTTACTTTCTTATCAAGAAATCCTGAACAACTCAAGCATGCCTTTTTAGGGTATCTTATTATACCCAAGGAAGCTAAGAAGTGGAAGTCATAAACAGCAAATATACTATACTATGAAATAAATTACACAATTTAATATTAGCAGCGAAACTAAAAGTTAAATTATTTTAGTAGGGTTTTTTTTTTTTTTTGGTCTTTTGAGACAGGATCTCCCTATGTAGTTCAGGCAGGTGCTGAGCTCACTTTGTACCCAGGCTGGTCTTGAACTCACAGTGATCCTCCTGCCTCAGTCTCCCGAGTACTGGGATTACAGGTGTGCACCATCATACCTGGCTGTAGTATATGTTTTATACTACCATTATTATTATTTTAATTTTTTGAGACAAGGTTTCACTATATATCCCAGGTTGGCCTGGAACTCAGTGATCCTCCTGCCTCAGCCTCACAAGAGCTGGGATCACAAGTGTGCACTGCCAGGCCTAGCTTACGATTATTTTGATGGAAATGTATACTTAATTCACAATTCTGCTTCTAAACAAATATAAAATGTTAGTTCTAAGGTGCTATCCCCTCTAATGCACAACTAAGAACAATTAGCTGAAGCTTCAAGACTTACATTTTATTTGCTTTCTCTGGAGTTTCAAATTCTTTCCACAAACTATCAACCTCTTGAAGTTTCTTCTCATTTAGGACCTGAAATCAAACATTTAAATAGTTTTCTTCAATTGCTCAGCTCAGGCATATACAGTTACATTTTCAGGGTACTATACATACCAAATAAAGGCTGTTGAAAGCTATGTCTCTTGCTGAAATAATGAACTTGTTTTGTTCCCCAGCATAAACTTTTGGTCAAATAAGCAATTCGTGTTGGGTCTAACTTGGGTCTTTGTAAATCGTCACGCATACTTTTAGAAATGACATGATACACTTGGCATATATCCTCATTTCTGCCCTAATGGATATTAAATCAATTCTAATTTTTTCCTTTTCAATGCTCCAGAAAACAAACTTTTATATAGACACGTATATTGTGCTTCTATAGAAGTTAGTTCATTGAAAATAAAAGCAATTTGACAACAGAGATCCTATCAGTTTCACTTAAATTGGTACTAAATTTAATTTTTTTTCCTTACCACAACCCAAATCTAAATTTCTAAAACAAATTTAATTACACCTTCACCAACACCGAGTATTAGGCACAAACCTAAGTATAGGACTGGGTAATAGATAAATTCTAAAACTCATCTTCCCTCTATATTTAACAACCTTGTAATTGAGATACTTTGCAATTTATGAAGGTTAATCTAACAGACACTGTAAAACATATTATGAAATATAAACCGGGCATGGTGGTGCATGCCTGTAATCCCAGCACTTGGGAGGCTGAGGCAGGAGGATTGCTGCAAGTTTGAAACAAGCCTGGACTACAAAGTGAGCAGCCTGAACTGCATAGTGAGACCCTGTTTCAAGAAAAGACAATAAATAAATAAATATGGCAAGTTCATTTTATTTTATTTTTTTTTATCATGTGTCCTAAGCATGAAACAGCTCTGGCCACCACCCAGGCATCAAGATAGGATGAACAAAGGACTGTTGTCTACTCTGCCCCTGACTGATACAAGAATAACACCACCAATGAGGTGTCTCTTTGCCCAATGCCAGGGGGGTGGCAAGTTCATTTTAAGGATTACTTGTACTCTTAAAATTTGATTCCACAGGGGCTGGGGATTTAGCTCAGCAGCATAAGCACCTGCCTTGCAAGTGTGTGGTAGTGAGTTCGATCCCTGGCATCGGTAAAAATACACACACACACACACACACACACACACACACACACAAAGATTCCACAATTTAATTGGATAGATTCACAGAACTTGTAAAGTTGGTCACAATAAATCAAAGTGGAAAAATTATAAAGCATTCATTCATAAGTAACAGCCGTAAACAACTCTAAAACACAATGTTGGTATTATAAAAAAATCACATGCTATAGGCAGTGGTGGAGAACCCTTTAGGACTTTCTTTTTTTTTTTTGGGTCTTTTTCCTTTTTCTTGGTACCAGGGATTGAACTCACAACTGCCTGCTTGCAAGGCAGGCGCTTATGCCGCTGAGCTAAATCCCCAGCCCCAAGGACTTTCAAAGACACCTACAGCCCCCTATGCCATAGATTCACCATCACTTAAGAATGCCTAGCCAGCAGAAGGATTCTGGTGCACAGTAGCAAGACACAGTGTTGCTAACCGAGTGAGTGAGTAGTTCCATTACTTGAAGCTTTCCTGAAGCTTTTGCATTCAAGTCATTCAAATGAATTTTAAGACTGCACTACTGTTTCCTTTGTTTTGTTGGGGCTCTACTGGGAACTTCAAGCTTGCTAGGCAGGTACTCTACCACTAAGCTACATCATCAATTAAACTGTAGTTAAAGTAACATGGAAATGTAATAAAGTCATGGTGATTTATGACCAGCCAAAGTTTTGCAAAGAAATTATTACAGCAAACAAAACTTTGGCTATTATATTCCTAACATTTGGATGAAAACTTTTTCTTTTTTTGTATCGGGATCAACTCATGACCATGCACTTGCAAAGCAGGTGCATATGCCGCTGAGCTAAATCCCCAGTCTGAGAACATTTCTAATAAAGACAAATAGAAAAAAAACTCATTAGATTTTCTTTTTCATTTCTCTCTAATTTAAAGCTATTCATTTCCAGACAGAGAAATTGAAACTACTGTATACAAAATCCATTTTAAGCTTCATGATTCTTAAGGGAGTTTCCATTTCAAGTAAGTAGTGTACAGCTATTACTACCATTAAATTTTTAGTGCTAATGTTACATACACTGAAATATTTACAAGTAAAATGAAATATACAGACTTGATTCAAAATGCTTTAGCAAGGGTAGGTGATACCTAACACAAGATATTGAAGTGAAGTGACAGGATACAAGGAGGTACTATTTTGTCCCTTTTTATCCGTCTTTTGATAAAAGACGGGGTTTCCTTATGCAGTTCAACCAGGTCTAGAACTTCCTTTTAGCCCAGGCTGGCCTCGAACTCACAGAGCACTTCCTGGATATAATCCTGAGTGCTGATATTCCAGGCTTGCACCACCATGCCTGGCCTAAAAATTTAAATTAACTGAAAACTTAAAAAGTGCCAAGTCTCAGCGATAGAGTGCTTACCTAGCATGCACAAGGCTACCCCAGTACTACCACCGTAGCTATGATTAACTCAGTCACAGTTAGCCATGTTTGGAATGTCAAAGAACAGTGTGTGACTAGTGGCTACCATATTGGATGACACAGGGAAAGAGCCCTGGAATGAACAAGACTATGAAGATCTTACACTAAGCACCATGGGACACAAGGTGAACTTTTGTTAACATTCTACAAGTAAATGTATAGTTTCTAGAGATATTATCTTTGCATTTGTTTCCAATAAGGATTCACAAGGAGTTGAACCCTGGGCCTCCACTATGCTAAACCCTGCCCTATATAAGTAACCTTGTTAATGAACAGTAAACTTCTAAAGCATTTTTAAAAAACCCACTATATGTTAAGTGTGTATGAGTACAATGGATTGTGTATGATACGATATAATCCTTGATGTAAGTAGAACTGAAAGACTTTGTAATGTGTTCTCAAGGCACAAATTGTTTTCAACAAATGCCCCAACATTGTTATGGGAGAGGGGCTGGGTTTTAGCTCAGTGGCATAAGCGCCTGCCTTGCAAGCAGGCAGTCGTGAATTCGATCTCTGGTACCGATAAAAAGGAAAAAGACAAAAAAAAAGGGTTATGGGAGAGCTGGGGATGTAGTTCAGTGGTACAGTGCTTGCCTAGCAGACACAAGATCCTGAGTTTAATCCCCAGTACCACCAAAAAATAAAGTAAATAAAAAGATTATGGGAATTATGAAACTTGTACTCTGTCTTTTAAGGTAATTCATACTATACTATTCATCTTAAAATGTACGACGCAACCCCAGAACATTTTGCATGTTTATTATATTTCAGAAAGGACCAATAACATTAATTCTGAATCAGTAAGAATTCACTTTAAAGTTGTCTGGTTAGGGCTGGGGATTTAGCTCAGCGGCATAAGCACCTGCCTTGCAAGCAGGTGGTCATGGGTTCAATCCAAAACAAAAAAAAAGAATGTAGTTGTCTGGTTTACATTAATTTTTTGTTCCTCCTACATTCTTGCTGTTGTCTAATTGTTATTTGTATTCATTGTTATTAATATTAATGGGAATACTAATACTACTAATTTTTTTCCATTAAGCCCTGTTACCATGGTTTTTTTTCCTATTTGTCTTTAAAGTTTCACCAGCTGCTAGTGAACATTGGCTCTCTATAACACTAAATTCTCCACTGAAAGACATGTTCAGATTTAAATTAGTCACTTCTTCCCTGTCAGAGAAAACATTTATTAATTATGTTAAATTTATTTTTAAATGAAATATAATTGTATAGCTTTGTGGAGTAAAATTCAATATTTTAAAATATGTATATAGTGTGCTGTGATTAGACACCTAAAAAGAAAAAAAAACCATTAATTCTGAATAATAAACAGTATTTCTATGTAGTCTAGTCTGACATTAGTTATGTCATTTTAAGTTATGCATGCTGAACAGTAACTGTGACAGCTAATCAGAAAATTAGCAATGTACCACACATATTTTATCTAACACTTTTTATCTTATAGCAACACATTAACCTAGAGTACAGAAACTGATTTTCATCCAATGTTCCAAGACCACTTCCTGCCTGGAACATGGAAAGTACTCAAACTATCTCAAAATTTCAGTTAACATCCCACCTGCAGCATGGTCTCACGGTATAACCATTTCTTTGCTGATGAGCTTGTAAATGAACCCCAAACCTTCTACATACAACCAGGCAGCTGGGTAATCTCAGCACAGGAGACTGAGCCAGGGAGACCACGTGAGTTCTAGGCCAGCCTGAACTACAAATGAAGTTCAACGCCAGCCTGAACTACATAGGAAGGCCCTGTGCCAATCCCCACTCCCAAAGCCAACCAAGCCTCAAGCCGATTACTACCACCCGGATTTCTCCTCTAAACTTCAAAATTTGAAACACAGAATTCTATTACCAGACCCAGTAGATAACGCAGATTTCACTAAGGCCAAATCATTCACAGTAAGCAATCTTATTTAAACAAAAACCCTACAATCAGACCATAGGCCAACTTGTCAAAGGCTTTAAGTTTTTTTTAAAAATAGCAGTATTTGCTGCCACATTGACCCTCATCTAAGCAACCCTGTCTTGCCCAAACTGTCGCGAAGTATCTTCGCTTCCTTCCTTGCCTCTCTATCATCTAGTCTTGAAACAAGAGCTTAATAAAGACAAATTTGGTGTGGTGGTGCACGCCTGTAATTCCAGTATTTTGGAAGGTTGAGAAAGAATTATTTCGACTTCAAACCCAACGTTGATAAAGCAGCAAGATCTTGTTTCAAAATTAAAATATGAAATAAATAAAGGGCTGAGGTTTAGCGTGAAAAACCTGAGTTGGGGGGCGGGGGTGATAAATCACATCAGGTAACTCCTCTGCTCACTTTTGATTACTCCTCAAAAGACCCAGAACAAGATTCTGTCACAGTCTGCAAAACACGAACGGGTGGCCCAAACGGACGGACACGTGTTCACCGACACGCGGGCCCTGTGGCCTTCCACTGCCTTCCTGAGGCTGGAATTTAAAAGACACTACCAGACCGAGAATACTCCTTGTCCTCTCCTCAGATCATTCGGGCCCTCACCAATCCAAGCACGACCTCTACCCTCCAACCGCCTCATCTCCCACCTACCTTAAAGATGGCGTAGCCAACGGACGTCTCAAAAAGCACCAACATGGTGAGGCCGGGTCGGGCGCCGCGCGGCCCGCCACGAACTCCTACACCACTACACAAAATGCACTGCTGCACCCACAAAAGGGCCACTAAGGTTTCGGAAGATAGCGGTGAAGGGAACACACTTCCCGCAAAGAATCAGACCACCCAGCCTCTACGTTCCAATTCCAGCAGCGGGCAGAAAGCAGATACTAGATTCACCTACTCCAAGGATTCTGGGATACGACGTCACTTCCGGCGGAAGATGCGCAAGGTAGCTAATTCCGGAATATTCCCGCTTTACAGGAGGGGCGGGGCGGCTCACGAAAATGCTGTGAGTGGTTTTAGGACTGAAAATTCACCGCGTGGGGTCAGGAGGAACGAGACTCCTGGGTCGAATACTAGAAAAGGTGAAGCGGGAGAGGGAACCAGGATCAGAATCAGGGAAGCCCGGAGTGGTGCCTCACGCCTGTGGTCCCAACAGTCTGGCTGACTGTTCCAAGTTCCAGCGTTACAAGTTAGCGGATGAGACAGAAGCACTGTGACTCTTGATGGTATTATCTTCACAATTTGAGTTTTTTGATAGAATTGTGGCGCGGCTGAAAAGATAAGTATGAAATATAAATGACCTTTATTTTAAGAATGCGGGGAGACAACCCCTAACCCTCGGGGTCTAGCAATCTCTCTGGCGGACACGTGGAGTAGGGGCTTACATGTAGTTTAGGAGCCTAAGGGGTGGAGCCTAAGGGGCATTACTGATGCACAGGTAGCCCATTGGTATTCATTTCGCGCCACAGGTAAATTTCTAGGGGCGGGGAAGATGGAGCACCTTGGTTCCGCCTCCGAGGCTTTACCGGCTACAGTGTCCCATCTGGGCCAAAATCCTTTCTTTTTTTTTTTTTTTTTTTTTTTTTTTGTCTTTTTCTTTTTTATCGGTACCGGGGATCGAACTCACGACCACACACTTGCAAGGCAGGCGCTTATGCCGCTGAGCTAAATCCCCAACCCCCAATCCTTTCATTTTTGATTTGTTTTGTTTTAGAGAGTTTGTGTAGTTCAGACTTGGTTCTAACTCGCTGTGGAGTGCAGGCTGCTTAAAACTTGTGATAGCTCAGCGGCATAAGCGCCTGCCTTGCAAGCGTGTGCTCATGAGTTTGATCCCTGGTACCGATAAAAAAAAGAAAAAGACAAAAAAACAAAACAAAACAAAACCGTGTGACTCTCCTGCCTCAGCTTCCCAATACTGGGTTTACAGGCATGCCCACACCCAGCTCACTTTTTTTGTTTGTTTGTGCAGGGGATCAAACTCGGGGGCTCTCTACCATCGAGATACATTCCCATTGCTTTTAGCGTATTTTTTAAATTCCGAGACAGGATCTTGCTAAATTGCTCAGGCTTGCCTTGAACTTGCAGTCTTCCTACCTCACTTGGCTTCGAAAGTAGCTGGGATTGCAGACTTGCACATACTGCCCAACTTCACAAGTTGTTTTTTTTTTTTTTTTTTTTCCTTCTAGTCTCCTTAACAAAGTGCAGTCTGCTAGAGAATGAAATCTGTACTTTATAGTACTTACTTACTTGTATCCATATAGAGCATGATATTGTACTAGTCATTAAATACCATCTCAAGGGGAAGTAAAAAGAATATGTGCATTTGTCAATTTACATTAATCATTGTGTACTGCAATCGTGGATTAATAAAACTTAAAAATAGCTGGGGATGGGGATGGGGATGGGACTGGGGATTTAGCTCAGCGGCATAAGCGCTTGCAAGCAGGCAGTTGTGAGTTCGATTCCCGGTACCGATAAAAAGGAAAAAGACACACACACACACAGGGCTGGCTTTAGCCCGGTACCGATAAAAAGGAAAAAGACACACACACACACACACACACACACACACACACACACACACACACACAGGGCTGGCTTTAGCCCAGCTGTTCCTTCGAGTCTGGCTTCCTAACCGCCCGCGCCGACTGGTCCGGTGGTTCGAGACCCGCGGGCGCACTCTCCAGTCCTTTAAAAAAAAAATACCTGGGGATTTAGCTCAGCAGCATAAGCGCCTGCCTTGCAAGCGCTTAGTCATGAGTTCGATCCTCGTACCGATTTAAAAAAAAAATAATAAAAAGAAATAAAATTAAAAATAAAAATTGAAGCTATACTATAAAGTAGTAAATATCTATAGTCATTAAAAAAGCATAGGATATTATTAAGTAATTCTTTTTTTTGTCTTTTTCATTTTTATTGGTACCAGGGATCAAATTCATGACCGCCTGCTTGCAAAGCAGGTGCTTATGCCGCTGAGCTAAATCCTCAGCCCCTAGTAATTCTTAAGATTTTAATAAGTATCTGTAGGAAATAAAATTCTTTTCCTTACATCAAACATTTTGCATCATTTTCTAAAAGAAATCACTTCAACAAGAAATATCTGCACAAGGCCCTGGCTTCGATAAAAAAAAAAAAAAGGCTAGGCATGGTGGCACATGGGAGCTTGAAGCAAGAGCATCACTCTGAGTTCAAGGCCAATCTGTATTACATAGCCACACCCTGTCTCAAAAAATAAACAAGTCTGTAGTGCATCTCCTAGCATTTGTCCTTGCACACTGCTATTTACATAATCACCTCAATCAACTGTTTCAGAGCTGATTCCAATTTTGGATTTGGATCTTGGCCAGGTACAGTAATTGCGTGGAAATTCCCTATTGCAAGGGAAAAGTAAAGAGTCCTAATACTTCATTAAACAAAATACTAGGTCAAGGAGAGATAACCCAGAACTATAAAGAAGATATGGGAGATGACAGAAAACAAAGGCTTATAATTATATGCCTGAGCTGGGGAAATTACTCATAATCTTGCCTAAGCCCTAGCTAGGTTCAGTGCCTAGAACCTCCACCCCCACCCAGAGTACACCTAATATGGTGAAATGACAGAGTAAAAACATGCTGCTTCAGCCAGGTGTGGTGGCTCACACCTGTAATCCCAGCACTAGGGAGGCTGAGGCAGGAGGATCGTTGGGAGTTCGATACTAGCCTACAAAGTGAGTTAAAGGCCAGCCTGAACTGCATAGAGACCCTGTCTCAAAAAGACAAAAAACAAAAAAAAAACATACTGCTTCTGTCCTCTGTACATGTCAAGTCTGTCCCAGTCCCAACTAGTCATGTGTAGTGTCTGGCACATTTAAGGCTAGAACCAGTGAGTGGAATAAATGAGTAATAGGCTTAAATTGTTTCAGAGGGCTAGTAGAGGCTTCAGGTGCTTTGTGAAATCTGTTGAGGTTAGTAAACAGATGCTCGGAGACCTCCCATGTGCCTAGTAACAAGAAAGAGACTCAGCTGTTTGCCTTTAGGAAAAACTTACGAAATGTACATCCCACTAAAGGTCAGCAAGTTAGGTAAAAGATTCTTATGTACTAGATAAGGATGACTGACTAAAAAGAGATATTTGAAGTCAAAATGGAAATTCAGATGTGTTACAAATCTCATCATGGTTGTCATACTCTAATGTATATGGTTTAAATTTCTAATTTTGGAGCTGGGGATTTAGCTCAGTGGCATAAGCGCCTGCCTTGCAAGCAGGCAGTTGTGAGTTCGATCCCCGGTACCGATAAAAAGGAAAAAGACCAAAAAATAAATAAATAAATTTCTAATTTTCTGTGTAAAAATAGGTAACAGTTAACTTTACATATTCTATAAAAAAAAAAACTTTACGGATTTAATTCAGTGGGTCAAGTGCTTGACTGCTAAGCACAAGGTTGTGAGTTTGATCCCTGGTACAAAAAAAAAAAAGAAAAAAGAAAAAAAAATCCATGGATAATAGATAATAACAATTCCATTTTATGTCCTAAGGTGCTTGATATTTAGGTAAGATAATAATGTTAATCTTATTGCCTCTACTATACTATGCTGTTATCAGTCTTTTTTCGTGGATGTTTCACAACTGAGGTTTAAGAGACCAAAAATTAGAGAGATGGGCTAAGGGCCAATATTTTGGCCCTAGCCCTCCAAGGTCAATGAGAACCTAGGACATAAGAGAACCTCTGCTGTGACATCCTATACTTGGTGAGTCCTTGGTCTCCTGACCAAGAAGATTGTGGGTCCACAGAGGGAACTAATCAATATGTAGTATGCCTAAGGAGAGTCATCAGTAAAAAGGTCTCCCAAGCCTTCACAGAAAGCAACTTAGTCAAGCAGTGGCCTTCACTCATCCAGACAGCTAATACTGACAGAGGAGCCAAGAGGTGCTATGCGTGGTTCCAAGGCAATTCCTGAGGCGATTTAACTGATCTTGATAGATAACAAAAAACTGATCATATTTAATACAGGTCTCACTTTTTTTTGGTACAGGGGATCAAACTCATGACCCATGACCTTGCACTTGCCAAGTAGGCACTTGTGCCGCAGAGCTAAATCTGCAGCCCAAAGGTCTCACCTTAACTTGGCCTTGAACATCCAATGGAAAGAATTTAACTACAAAATGTGTAAAACAATGCTAAAGTAAATGTTACAAAAAGAAACAAATTGTTACAGGCAACTGAATTAGACAGAAACATTATAGGCAGTCAGACATGGCTGGGCCCTCAAAGGAGCCTGGGCAGGAGACCACATACCTGGCAATCTTGGAGGAGACATACACTTCCTGCTGTGGGCCAGACCTCAAGACAAAAGATCAAACAAATGCTACCCACATTCTAAGGATTAATATTCTAAATAGGTCTCTATCACCCTGAGGAAGCCAGGAGTCACCATCCCAAGTCCCTACAGAAAGAGTTCCTGCTCTGTAAGCCTGCACACTTGCTATGTGAGTCCCCCCCACCCCATAGACATCTAGCAGGTTGGAAGTTTCTTTCCCCTATATCACTACCACCAAAGCTATCAACACCTCAGTCATAATTAGCCTTGTTCAAGTGTCAAAGAACAGTGTGTGGCTAGTGGTTACCATATTGGATAGCACTGGTAAAGAGTGAACAGGAAGTTATCTTTAAGCTTACCCTGAGCACCATGGACACAAGTTGAATTTTTGTGTCACCATTCCTGGCCTTTTTTTTTTTTTTTTGTATCAGGAATCCAACTTACAACCTTGAGCTTGTCAGGCAGGCACTTACACTGCTGGCCTTGAACTGACCAGTATGTGACTCACGCCTTGAATTTTAAGCAGTCCTTCTGCCTCAGACTGCATGTATTTTTTTATTTTGAGATAGGATCTTGCTAAGTCTCTAAATTGTCCTAGCTGGGCTCAAACTTATGATCC